TCAGCTGTAATCCTAATGGGTTTTCCTTTATATGTGACTTGTTTCTCTTTTGCAGCTTTCAGAATTCTCTCTGTTTTGTACATGTAGTGTTTTTACTATGATGTGCCATGGAGAGTTTTTTTTCTGGTCCTGTCTGTTTGGTGTTCTATATGCTTCTTGTATATGTATGGGCATGTCTAACTTTAATTTTGGGAAATTTTCTTCCACGATTCCATTAAAGACCTGGTCCATGCCATTATCTTGGGATTCTTCTTCCTGTATGCCTATGATTCATAAGTTTGGTCTTTTTGGAATCACACAATTCCTGTGTATTTCATTCCTGTGATTTCTTAAATTTTTCATAATCTTTGCTTGAGTGGTCTAGTTCATCCACTTTATCTTCCAGTCTTGATACTCTGTTTTCCATTTTGTTCATCCTGTTGTTGAGGCTTTCTCTTGTTGTTTCTAATTGGCTTACTGAGTATTTCACTTCCTTCTTCATTTCAGCCTGAGTATTCTTCAATATTTCTAACTCTTTTCTGAATTCATTGAGAAGTTTATCCCTATCTTCCTTCAGTTCTTTGATTTCTTTTTGTGTGTGTTCTTTAAATTCACTGAATTCTTTCATCATGTTTATAATTGTTCTTTTGAGTTCTATGTCCTGCATTATCTCTAGGGGTTTCTCATTGTACTCCTTTAGAGGACCATTGGTATTTGGTGGGGATATGTTCTTTTGGTTTTTCATGTTATTATTTTTTCTCTGTGATTTTGGCATGTGAATTTCTTTTGTAGTTTCCGGTTCTTGTGTGAGACTCAGGCCTTCAAGTTTAGGTCTATTTCTTTCTGTGAACTTTATGTGTCTTTCTGGTTTACTTTTGGGGCATGAAAACCTGGTTCGTCTAAGCTTCTGGTTCTCTCTCTTGATTTTATATTGAAGTTGCCGGATTGATTTTGTCTTCAGGAGTTCCTGCAGAGGCCCATTTCAGATGAGGGTCAGATGATTTCAGGCTTTCTCCTAAGGTCTGGATCCCTCCAGGACTTATTTTGGCCTCAGGAACTTGGGGGTTGGACTGGCCTGGGAGCCTGGCCCAGAAAAGATGCTGGTCTAGGGCAGCTGGTGGCCTTGCCACCCAGAGATGCAAAGGCAGATGGGGCGGGAAGAGGCCCCAAGGACTCCTGGGGACTGCACTGAGGAGCTGGGTTGGTCCCAGAGAGAGGCCTGTGGGTGGGCGATAGGTAGTGTGTTTTTAATAATATGTATACATTGTGCAGTGATTAAACTAATAAACATATGTGCAAGTTCTCTTATTTTTTTGTTGTGAGAATATTTGAAGTCTCTTTTAGCAGTTCTGAAATATATAACACATTATTAATTATAGTCGCCATGATATACCATAAAATTCTTGAATTTATTCTTCTTATCTGACATTTTGCATTCTTTGACCAACATCTCCTTTAAACCCTCAACCCCCACATTATAGCCACTATTCCACTCTCCAGTATTAGGAGTTTGACTTAAGATTTCATTTGTGAGGTGATACAGTATTTCTCTATGAGTTTGTGTTATAGTATATGACCAGAATTTTCTTTTTCAGACTAGACTGAGTAGTATTTCGTTGTAATTATAGACTACATCTCCATTAGCCTTGTCCCTGTTGTGGGACACTTAGTTTGTGTCCTTATCTTACTGTTGTGCGTAATGCTATAGATGCCATGGGGGTACATAGATCTTTTTGAGGTTAGGGCTTCTGCATATGCATCTTGAAAAGGCACTGTTTGTAACAGTCTACAGAATCTGTGGCAGAACATAGGAGATGAATGAAGAATTGTAAGAAAAGCTCCCTGAAGGAATTTCATGGACCTTCTGCATTACCACTGTATGAACAACAGGCTTCCTGAAGTCTGAGTATACATCTTTGTATGTGCCCGTGCTTCTCCAGGACGACTCTAGGCATTTGTAGCTGGAGTTTTAAATGAACTTGTCATTTTTTTTCCCTCATTCCGCATGTTCCTGCCACCTCTTTTGTTCATTTTTGCTCTTATACTTGTCCTTACTTCTTTCTTCTATTTTGATGACTTTTGACTTGTAGTTTGTTTTCTTTGTTTGTCTTTAAAGATGTGCAGTATTATGAAGGTCTGTAAGATACTAAAGGTAACTCATGTTTTCTGGATATCTTTTTTTTTTTGGTCTTTTTGAGACAGGGTCTCCTTGTAGCCCCAGCTGTCCTGGAATTTACTGTTTAGACCAGGTTGGCCTTGAACTCACAGAGATCCACCTGCTTCTGCCTCCCGAATGCTGGGATTAAAGGTGTGCGCCACCACACCTGGCTCTGGATATCTTTTTAAATTTAAAATATTCCTAAGCTTAATTTAGTATCTATAATTATTAATTTTCTTAAAGTTTTTAAAATTCATCTCTTAATGCTGCTGTAAAAATTTTATAATCCATATTATGCTTGTGTTATATAAAACAGGTTTATTGCATATTTTAAGTCCTCTTCGTCTGCCATCCATTTATTTTGTATTGCACATACAAAATTTATGCTCCAAATTTTGGACAATTTGCATGGAAAAGTAGAATAATAAGCAATTATATACTTGCTGGAATGCAAGATAATTCCAATATCTTTGTTTCAAGAATGTTTATAGCTACCGAATGTAGTACTATATGCCAATAATTCCAGTGCTCAGGAGGTTGAAGCAGGAGGATCATGAATACTAAGTTCAAGGCTTACTCTTGCTATACAGTGAGACCTTGTCTCAAAAAAAGAGGGGGAGGAGAATGAGTGTTGAATGTTTTTAATATGCTCTAAGAAGGTTCTACAGCATATCTTTTTAGGCAGCCTATTGCTAAATTAATATAAATAGTGTCCTGTATTAAGCTCCACCCACCTAGGGCTCAGGGACAGGACCATTTTGGAAAAGAGGGCAGAAAGATTGTAAGAGCCAGGGTAGGAGGTACACGGCCATATGGAAACAAGAATCTAACAGGCACCTGGGACCTTGCTCATATGAATCTACAACAATGAAATCAGCATGCACAAGACCCATGCAAACTCTAGCAGACAAAAAACCCAGCAAAAAATTGGTGAAATGGGCAGCAGGCCCAGTCTTGGTCAAAGAACTACTGACAGCTGATTACTGCTGGGTGAGGGAGAGCTGATCTTGTTTAAGGAGTCAGTTAGGCTGACTAGACACTGGTGGATGAACTTGCACTGAGGCATGTCTGGGTACACTAACTTGACTCGATAGGCCTTAATATAAATGACAAACTGCTTAAAACCCAGTGTGGGGGGCAATGGGAGGATACAGATGGGGGAGGGGATATAAAGATGATTAAGATGTTTTGTATGAAATACACAAAAATTCTATTAAAAAATTAAATTAAAAAAATGGTGTCCTAGAATGGAATGTTTTAAAAATATTTATTATTTTTATTTTATGTGTATTTGTGTATTGCCTGTATGTAGGTAAGTGCACCCATGTCATGCAATGTCCACGGAGGATAGAAGAGGCTGTTGGATCCCCTGGGACTGGAGTTATGGACAGTTGTTAGCTGCCATGTGGGTGCTGAGATTCGAACCCAGGTCTTCTACAAGAACAACCAGTGTTCTTAACTGCTGAGCCATGTCTCCAGCCCCTAGAATAGAAATCCTCATGCACAGGACTGAGCACACTGCATTGCTTCATGTGTGTGCATTAATGCTATGCAGGCAGCTATGCAGGCAGTAGTCACTCAACGTTGAAGTTTAGTTGAATCACTACTTTGGGTCAATAAAGTTAAAGTGAGCACGTCTGCTGCTCTGGAGAAGAATTTCATCTGATCGGTTTTAGAGAAGAGGCATCGCTTCGTAGTACTATTCATGTCAAAAAGGAAAATGTGCACAGGGTGTGGTGGTGCACACCAGCATTCAGAACACAGAGGCAGGTGGATCTCTGTGAGACTGAGGCAAGCCGGGTCTACATAGTAAGTTCCAGGCCAGCTGAGTTACAGGAGACCCTGTCTCTAAATAAATAAACAAGGGGGAAAACCCTGTCTCAAAAAAAAACCAATAAGCAAAAGGAAAACATGACGTTCATTATGATAAGCAGGGAGAAGCCGGCAGCATTGTGAGTGTGAATGAAATGAGAAGCCAGGTTTTGTGACTCCGGGATGGATGTTTAACTGTTCGACTAACTTGCCTGTCAGGGTTTCTCGTAAGTGGCCTGGTCCCCACTTGACAGTTATACCTGATACATAAAATGTCTTATAGCTTTCTGACAGGAGCCTGGCTATGGATGCTGGGATCCATTGCCCTTCTGGGAAGGAATATGCCAACACTGTATGAGGAAGTAGAAGAGGGTTAGTGGACCATTTTGATAAATTAAAGTCATTGAACATAAGGGATTTTAAAAGGGACTCTATACTTTTCATTGATTATTTTCTGTGCACTAAATGGCCTAATCATTTCTTGCAGGAGGAGCAGCTGAAATCTCATGAAAGCAAGCTTAAGCAGATTACCACTGAGCTGGCTGAGCATCGTTCATATCCCCCAGACAAGAAGGTCAAAGCCAAGGATGTCGATGAATATAAGCTCAAAGATCACTATCTGGAGTTTGAGGTATGGGGAGCCTAAATGTTAACAAGTGCTTGCTTTATGATCTGTTTGAGGCCAATAAGTCATAAACAGTTCCTGTCAGGTCATGAGCCTGCCTTGTCTTGGCTCCCACTTGGGACCACCTAGCATGACACAGCAGCTCATGTTTGTGACTGTGTTTAAGCAACAAATAAATATCAAAGAGTGACTTCCAGTGTATGTACTTCAAATACCCTCCTGATCAGAATAGTGCGTATCTGTTGTAAGGCTAAAAAAAGAACACCAGTACAGGGATCTGCCAGAGTGGACAGCTGTTTTCAGTGCCCCTGTGTCTCTTCCAACAGAGTTTGGGTCAAAATAAGGTACAGCAGAGGAAACAAACTGTGGGCTGATAGGGAGCATCAGCTCTTGCCTGCACGCTCGTGCTGTGAAGTGATGCCAGTGTTCAGCCACTCTGCCCTGCTTTTCAGGACTATTGTGGAATGAAGTTTCAACACTTTCACCCCATTGTGAGTGTGATGAGAAAGAGGACCCAACCATTGCTCTGTGGAAATGCAGAAAACTCAAAACCAATTGAAAGCAATCTGTTCCTACATGTTCCCTTTGTCTAAGATTTCTCCCAAATGAATGCCGGGATCGTCCCGCTCCCCTCCTTAGCCAGCACCTTCAGAACCTTAAAGTGTCTTTTTCCAATAAGAAAAGATAATCTATGTACCGTGTAATCCAACACAGCATAATTACTCCTCAGTTTTCCACACGTTTTCCTGCTGGGTGTGTTGACTCTCAGTGGCTGCTCCTCATTGCAGCCCTGGACCCTTCATGTTCCTCATTCTTCATTCCCATCTTATTACCATTCTGTTTCCTTCGAAGGACTGAAATTAGCATCTCCTGAGCCTCAGATCTTGCTCTTGCCTCTGTGGTGCTTCGTTCTGTCCGCTCCTTCCCACAGCCACAGCCTGGCCACCCCTGTACCAGTCCCGGCTTCCTCATCTCTCACATGAAGCTAGCAGTTGATCCTGCTGTCTTTCTTTTCTTCAGTTCATCCAACAACCTTGTCTGTTGTTTTTCTGAAGGTCATTCCAGATGACGGCACTGCCCTGTTCAGCACTGCCCTGGGTCACTCTTTACCCCACCCCCATCAACCTTCTGAAGTCTCAGACTTGAATCTGAGAAAGTGTGGCTTCCACTTCTATCCAGACCAGCCTTCTTTTTTTATTATTTATTATTTTTACTTTATGTGTATGAGTGTATTACCTGCATGTATGTGAGCGCACCCGTGTCGTGCAGTGCCTCAGAGGTCAGAAGAGGACATCGGATTCCCCTGGAACTGGAGTTAAGGACAGTTTGTAGCTGCCATGTGGGTGCTGGGAATTGAGCTCAGGTCCTCTGCAAGAGCAGCCAGTGCTATTAACTGCTGAACCATCTCTCCAGCCCCGGACCAGTCTTCTTATGACTCCCAAATCTGCATGTTCCTCACATTCCTGCCCCTTCTCCTGACACACACTAGTATCCTGTATTCTGCTAGTTCTGCCTCAAATGCCCTTTCTGTCATTTCTGTGAGTCCTGCTCATCTTTCAGGGTTCAAATCTCTCCCTTGAAAAGCCTGCTGTAGACTCACCCACGAGGTTATTCTGTTGTGGGATTTGCCACAGTCTGCTTTATGTTGGTTATGTTGATTTTTCTTTGTGTCTGCAGTGGATTCTGCACACCCCAGTGCAACACAATCAGAGCTCTGTGCTTTGTTGTTGAATTGCACAAAATTTCCTACAGACCTTAAGAACCCACTTCCTGAGTTGTCACATGGCTGTTATCTTACATTTAAGATGGCCCCTCCACCACAGAACCATTCACTAATCTTCATGATCAAGGGCGTCCTTGCTCTGGTCAGATGACTGTACCAAGAAAAATCTTTTAGTAAAGGAAAAAACTGGTTGATGAAAGCCAGGGAAGCCTTCCCAACAAAAGACTTGAAAAATAGCAGCAGAGTTAGTAGCTAGTCCTTGGCCAGGCATGTTCATTCTTGGGAAATGGGAGTTCTCCAAAAGCAATCATTATTCTTCACACTTCTGGAGTGGCTTTAAGCAAAGGCTCCGTTTTTGTTTCACACATTCTAATTAAATTTCCCAGCACCTCACTCCCCAGCTTCCCTCATTCCTCACCTCACTTTGAGCCCTTTGTGCTTCAGGGGACTGAGCCTCTCCCCAAGAGGTGGGGGCATTGCTAGGCCACAGGCAGGTAGCCACTGCTGACATGGGCCTGCCTGTGGATCTTCTGTGGGGCTCTTTTCCTGAAAATGCAGCCCCACAAAAGCCAGTGTTTTCATTTCCTGACTTGAAATTAGACCAGCTTTGGACCAATTAAGTCTTACTTTCCAGGGCTGTCATCTCCTAAAAGCAGACTCACGCTACTGTGTCAAGTGTGTTTAATGTGTCACGTTGCATTTTCTGTCAAGTGCACTAACCTATACCTCGACCAGGAAGGTATGAGGGGACTTCACTTTGTGCAAATATCGTCTGAAACAGTTTCTGTAAGACTCATGCTTTTTGAACACTGAGTCATTGTTTTTCACCAACTCAAATGAAAATTGAGGTAATGGATCATGTAGAATCTACTCTGCTGTGAGTTCAGCCACTGGAATTGATCTCCTGGGAGTGCTTGTGGAGGTCCTTGCCAAAGGAGCATCTTTTGCTTTATAAGCAACATTCCTTGAGTCGTTCCCTTCATTGCCTGAATAGTGTAGAGAGCCCTGGCCTGTTTGCTTATTTTGTTTACAGTTCTACCCCAGATCCTAGAATACCGACCAAGTGCTTGATAATCAGTTGAGTGACTCAGTGAAACTTTCCTGCTGTGAATACAGTTAGCATCGGAGGAAGAAAATCTCTCAGAAAACTTCATATTAATTCCATATACGAGGACAGAGGTATAATGAGAGTAGATCTGATAGGCAGGTGAGAAAAGAATGCAGCCTCAGTTCAGTAGAGCCCTCAGATGGTCAGTGATGGGAGGAGGATGCTTGGGCCCAGTTGGATTTTCACTCATGAGGAGTTGCAGGCGAGGATCAGCTCTGGAGGATTGACTCGCTCACCTGTTCCTCAGTAGGTCATCATGAGGAGGCCTCGCTTGGTCTCAGAGTGATTCCTATGATTTTCACAAGTCTCCAAGGAAAAGCACTTTTCTTTGGGCAGAATATTAAGTTTCAGCTGTGCGCACCAGGAGTGTCCCATGTCTGCATTTCAGTCATGACCCAAGTTGCTTAGCGGGCCAACAGTTCTTCCCAGTGAGCCAAATTCACAGCTCTTCCTACTCCTAAGAAATTCTGCAAGCCTTTGATCACGGTAAATAGTTAGAAATTCTAGTACAAATGTAAGTTTAGGACTTAAAGGAATCGATAGGAAATAAGGAAGCCTCCGTGTTACCCTTGTAAGAAAGAATTCATTTTTTATTTAAAGTAGTAAGTTCCACTTAAATGGGCTATAATTAACTAAACCCATACTTCGCTCTGACTAATAATTGTTGGAGAATGGGCAGTTGTTTTGTTCTTAACTCAGTTGGTACCCCTAAGCTATGGCCCTTCTCTTAGAAGTTTCCTTGGAAAATTTGCTTTTGGAAAGAATGTACCTTTGAAAGAAGATAAAGCACCACAAGTCTACAATGACGGAAACTGGCAATTTCCCAACTTGATGAAATAAGTATTATCAATAGCCTCATAGCCTTATGCATTAATTTCTGCTTTATTCAGCTCCCATTGTACTCTAAAGTGTTTTCATTGATTTCTAAGTTTCTGGTACATTAGGAAATTTATCAAGACTTAAAAGGACAATGGATGTTTTGTCACTAACATAAACAGTTGTAAGGCTCCTGCTAGTCAAGACACACAGTAGGCTGAGCTGTGCTGGGAAGCTCCTACTTCCCAGAGAAGCAACATTATTGACGAGATTCCCTTGATGGCTCTGCCCTTGGTCCCAGTATTTTGGCTTTGTTTCTTCATTTTTAAAAACAACAACAACTGGAAAATGAGGACACTGTTTGTTCCACAACATTTTTCATTCAGCACATAAGGTATTTGCAGTAGGTTAAGGGAGAGAGAGAATGTACATCAGCATAAACCACAGAGTCATGGCTGGGCTGGAGCTGGTTACTGAAGAGGCATTACGGGAGGTGAGATTGACCACAGGCTGGCAGGGGCCATTGTAGAGCCACCCGCAAAACTGTCCCCAACATGACGCATGTGGATTGTTTATGGCAGCACGTTTTTTAAATTTGCTTTTCTTGTGATGTGAATTCAGTTAGGCAAAGAAGCTGTCTCCTTCCGGTTGGTTGCCATCATGTCACTTCTGATAATTCTACGTCTGTGTGAGTAGCCTGGCCCTTGAAGGTATCTGAATCAGCAAGCCCTATACCGAGGCCGCTACCAGTTGTATATGGTTGGAATATTAGTTGGCTGTTTGAACATGGGCTTCAGAATTCACTGTCCAAATGAAGTCTGGGTGCCACATGAAGTTAATATGTCAGAAATTTAATCCTCAGCACAGTAGTGCTGGTTGGCAGAGCCCAGTAATCGAGTCCAGCCCTCTCTTAGCCCTCTTATCTTGTGCTGTAAGATGGTGCAGCATGAAGATTCATAATTTTTGTTCTTGGGTACCTCATTTTAGGCAAATCGTATAACCATGTAGACAGGAAATAAGTACAGAGGGCGTGGGGCTGTCTCTGTGACAACTGAAAATGCGGCAGTGACTTTGGAATTGGACAATGGGTACAGGCCGAAGCAGTTTTGAGGTGAATACTGGGAAAGCCTGCATTGTCACAAATGAAGAGGCTTAAAGGGACATTCTTCCTCTGAGGGCTCAGAGGAGGGAGCAGCTGACTAAGCACAGTCCCAGGCTTTCTTGAGAGCACCTCAGCTCTAAGACTGAACATTGTTTCCCTCTTGAGTTTTGGACTTACATGGGAGCACACACCTTTTTATGCATTTCTCTTTTTAGAATACTTGTCTAGTGTTCTACATTGATTAATTTCACAAGCTC